ACTGAAGAGGAAAATGGAAGTTTTTGTGGGTAATACAAGGTTCTGAGGCTTCTTGACATGGGATGGGAGTATTTTCACGTATCCATACATTTAGAGAAGAGCCGCATAGTTAAAGCAATGGTATTCTCCGTAGTAACCTATGGATGTGAGAGCTGGACCATAAGGAAGGCTGAGCAAAGGAAGATAGGTGCTTTTGAACTGTGTTGTTGGAGGAAAATTCTGAGAGTGCTTTGGACCACAAAAAAATCCAACCATCCATACTCCAGGAAATAATGCCCGACTACTCACTGGAGTGGAGTATATTAGAGGCAAAGATTAAGTACTTTGGCCACATCATGAGAAGACAGGAAAGCTTGGGGAAGATAATGATGCAGAGGAAAATGGAAGAAAAAAAGAAGAGGAACCGACCAAAGGCAAAATGGATTGATGGTATCCTTGAAGTGACTGGCTTGACTCTGAAGGACCTGGGGCCGAACTGCTCTGGCGTGGGCTAGTCCATGAGGTCACCTAGAGTCGGAAGCAACTGAACAAATAAACAACATACATTTGGAGATGCTTTTTTGGGGATTTGGGAGCATGTATTGCCCTAAAATACATCTCAGTTTGTCAACTTTTTTATTTTGGTTGGTGGGCTTTGGGGATCATAAGAATGGGGTCAAGCATGCAGTCTACAGGCCATGCTATGACCACCCTTGATGTACACGTTAAAAACAATTTCAGATCAACTTATCAATTAAGAACAGGCTTCTTACATCATGTCATGCTTGTAAAATCTCAGGAATCATGCTGCAGTGTGGGAGGTAAGAGGTTTTTGTTGTTTATTTGTTCAGTTGTTTCCGACTCTTGGTGACCTCATGAACCAGCCCACGCCAGAGCTCCCTGTCAGCCATCACCACCCCCAGTTCCTTCAGAGTCAAGTCAGTCACTTCAAGGATATCATCCATCCATCTTGCCCTTGGTCAGCCCCTCTTCTCTTTTACTTCCATTTTCCCCAGAATCATTCTCTTCTCTAAGTTTTCCTTTCTTCTTATTAGGTAAGAGTATATGCCACTGAATCTGCTGCATGGCCCTTAAGCTATCCCTCTGTCCTCAGGTGTGGTGGAAAACTTCCACTTCCTCTGCTGAAGAAGGAAGAGATTGCCAGTTTAATACATTCTGTACATGGAATCTGAATAACAGTGGGAGCATTTGGTCTGCTTCAGGCAACAAAATGTTTTGGCCTTGAAGGAAGCTATTTATTGGCTTCATTGCATCCTGATGTCTCTAGACTCAGCTTTCCATCCTTTCTCTTTGCTGTACATGACTGCATTAAGCAATCTCTATTTAGAGTTATGCATCATATTTTTTGTTGTTGTTTCACAACTAATCCATGGACTAATTTGTTCCTTTTGTCAATATTGTATTAATTGCCAGTAGTCACTGCTAGATGTTTGCATGGCTTTCGGTGCTTTAAAACAGACAAATAAATTACTTATTGAAAGTTTATTTTCTTAAGAAAATAACGTCAGGAGTGGAAGCTTCTGGAACATGGCCATACAGTCTGAAAAACTTACAGAAACACACTATTTTCTCATCGTTTATAAAACAGTTTGGATGTAAGGATGCTGGATAGGTTCCTGGAATCTGTGATGGTTATGAATAAAAATGGCTTTGTTTGTTCTGTGTAACTTGGATCCTAAATTCGGTTTTGTTCATGGCATTGGACTTTACTTTTTCCTTCCAACTCCAACTCCCTAATCATCCTTGCTTGGCACTCCATATCCTTTTCTCAGCATTGTGAGTATGTTTAGTAAGGTTATAGGATATGCTATGTTGAGCTGCAAATAAAGGAAGCAGTTAGCTACCTCAGATTTAAGTTGATGGTTGAAGTCCTCTTGGGTCTTATGCATGCAGATGTTCTTGTATGGAAGTAGCAGGATATTTTTTGTGTCATTCAGAATATTTGCAGAAGCAGAGAGTATTTGTGGTGCTTTTGCACTTGCAGATGTTTGGCATGTAATGGGGGCGCACATACAGTGAGCCCCATACCAAAAAAAGGGAAATGCGAAAGACTGCTCAAACTTCTGTACAGTGGCCCTTATTTCTCATGCCAGTAAGGTAATGCTCAAGATCCTGCAAGGAAGACTCCAGCAATACATGGAGCGAGAGTTGCCAGATGTTCAAGCTGGGTTTAGAAAAGGCAGAGGAACGAGAGACCAGATTGCCAATATTCGCTGGATAATGGAGAAAGGCAGGGAGTTTCAGAAAAACATCTACTTCTGCTTCATTGACTATTCTAAAGCCTTTGACTGTGTGGATCATAATAAATTGTGGCAAGTTCTTGGTGGTATGGGGATACCAAGCCACCTTGTCTCTCTCCTGAGAAATCTGTATAAGGACCAAGTAGCAACAGTAAGAACTGACCACGTAACAACAGACTGGTTCAAGATTGGGAAAGCCATTTGGCAAGGCTGCATACTCTCACCCAACCTATTCAACTTGTATGCAGAACACATCATGCGATGTGCGGGGCTTGATGAATGCAAAGTGGGGTGAAAATTGCTGGAAGAAACATTAACAACCTCAGATATGCAGATGACACCACTCTGATGGCCGAAAGCGAGGAGGAGCTGAGGAGCCTTCTAATCAAGGTGAAAGAAGAAAGCGCAAAAGCTGGGTTGCAGCTAAACATAAAAAAAACCCAGATTATGGCAACAAGAATGATTGACAACTGGAAATAGAGGGAGAAAATGTGGAGGCCGTGACAGACTTTGTATTTCTAGGTGCAAAGATTACTGCAGATGCAGACTGTGGCCAGGAAATCAGAAGACGCTTACTTCTTGGGAGGAGAGCAATGTCCAGTCTCGATAAAAAAGTAAAGAGTAGAGACATCACACTGGCAATGAAGATCTGCATAGTCAAAGAATGGTATTTCCTGTAGTAACCTACAGATGTGAGAGCTGGACCTTAGGGAAGGGTGAGGAAGGAAGATCGATGCTTTTGAGCTGTGGTGTTGGAGGAAAGTTCTGAGAGTGCCTTGGACTGCGAGAAGATCCAACCAGTCCATCCTCCAGGAAATAAAGCCCGACTGCTCACTGGAGGGAAGAATAGTGGAGGCCAAGATGAAGTACTTTGGCCACATCATGAGGAGACAGCAAAGCCTAGAGAAGACAATTATGCTGGGGAAAGTGGAAGGCAAAAGGAAGAGGGGCCGACCAAGGGCAAGATGGATGGATGGCATCCTTGAAGTGACAGGACTGACCTTGAAGGAGCTGGGGGTGGTGACGGCCGACAGGGAGCTCTGGCGTGGGCTGGTCCATGAGGTCACGGAGACGACTGAATCAATGAACAACAACATACAGTGAGCCCTCCACATTTCTTGGATTAAGGGGCATGGCAGCCCCGTGAAAGTGAAAAAAAAACATGAATAAAATGTTATTTCTTACTTGAGAGTACATCTCACTCAGGATTCCTAGGTCTCTTGCATGACTGTATAGTTGATTTTCATTGGAAGCTGGGGGGACCTAGACATATTTTAATTTATTGATTCGGCTTTTAATATTTGTACGAAATGTTTACTTGATTGTGTTTTACTGATTTGTTATTTTTTACCTTGTTTATCTGGGTTATATTAATTATTTGGTTTATTTGTTATGTACTCTTGGCATCAAATGGCTGCCATTCTTGTTGTTAGCCATCCAAAGTACCCAGAAGGGAGATGGGAAGGGATACAAATAAAGATGATGATAATGATGATGATGATGAGGCTAGTGTGGTCCCCTGGAGGTGCAGTAGGTTAAACCGCTGAGCTGCGGAACTTGCTGACTGAAAGGTCAGCAGTTCGAATCCAGAGAGCGGGGTGAGCTCCCGCTGTTAGCCCCAACTTCTGCCAACCTAGCAGTTCAAAAACATGCAAATGTGAGTAGATCAATAGGTACCACTTCTGCGGGGAGGTAACAGCACTCCATGCCGTCATGCTGGCCACATAACCTTGGAGGTGTCCATGGACAATGTCGGCTCTTCAGCTTAGAAATGGATGCAGGGAAGTGCCTGCTATAGAACAGTGTCACTCAAAGTGTTGGGCCTTGGATCAGTGGTGGCCCTTGAACCATTCACTCCTGGCCTTTATGGGTTTCCAAGCAAGAAGTAAATAGTGGTTGCAAGTATAGTGCAGGTCTTTAATATTGATAAATAATAAAGAAGACTTTGTATCAATTGTGACTTATCATTATGTGCAAACTGGTCTAATATTGTCCTACCAGTATTTGCATTCTGAGGGATGGGCGCACAATGCCTTTTTTAAAAATTGTGGATCAGGAATAGTTTGTTATAGATTCTTGGCTTTGGTGGCTTTGGTTCATATTCAATAAAATGTGCATAATATTGAATCACAGTACTGAGTCATTATGGCTTAGAAGACAAAGCACCTGTCAAAGTAGAATGTCTTAAAGGGGCTGAATTGTTGCCATGCAAATTAGAGAAATCCCAAGGTAATGGTACTCACAGGCACTGCCTGAGTAGTATCATTCTCACTTGCATTCCATTCACCATTCTCATCCCAACTGTCTGCTTGTAGTATTCCTTTCTCTAAAATTCTAAATAGTTATTCATTTCATATTCAAGGACCAGCATTAGGATAATTATTTCCCCTTCTACAAAGGATATATACACTCTGGAATTCAATAAATGAAATAAGTGTTATAAGAAACCTAGTTTCTTGTATTGTCGAAGGCTTTCATGGCTGGAATCACTGGGTTGTTGTAGATTTTTCAGGCTATATGGCCATGTTCTAGAAGCATTATCTCCTGACATTTCACCTGCATCTATGGCAAGCATCCTCAGAGGTGTTTGCCGTAGATGCAGGCGAAACATCCGGGGAGAATGCTTCTAGAACATGGCCATATAGCCCGAAAACCTACAACAACCCAACCTAGTTTCTACCCATAAGTTGCTCATGCAGAATCCATATGGGTGTTGTACTCATACCTTTAATGGATAGTTTTCTGTATCTTCTCTTGCAGTTCGGCTGTGACCATAGTGAGGCCCTTGTGAACATCTGTGGAGAGAAAAGCTTCCAGGCCTTTGTGTGTGATGCACTCTCTGTTCCAATACGAAGTGGCTCGTGTGATGCCTGTATATCCATTGCAGTTATCCACCATTTTTCAACAGTGGTAAGTTCAACTCCTGCAAGTAGGGAAGGATTCTGGGAATTGTGCTCCAAATAATATTTTCCCAGGGTCTGAGTCTTAAATTAAAAAATACCTGACTCTTTGTCAGTCTCTATTGGCTATTCAGACTTGTCTGAAGCAGAAGCCTTCTCCATTAGTTGCTCCCTCATCTTTTGTCTGCAGATTATTTCTACTGAGCTTTCATCTGAGCTAGTGTGCATTCCCCGCATCTCTGAACCACTGTGAACAGAGTACATCAAGGAGTTAGCATTGTGACACATGGTTTATTGTGCAATGGGTATCATTTAAAAGTTGTATAACACTGACCTGTCTTGGCTTTTATTTGCCAGGATTCCTCCCTTACAGAGAACTTCCAGATGAATTCAGCTTTTTATGCTGGATGGTTGTAGAACACAGAACTCTCATGCTTTACTGCTCAGGCATTAGTTTCACTAAGACAACTATGCCAAAGGTGTGGAGTTACACACTGCAAGGGTCACTTCTGTCACTTCAAACCCACTTGTACACATCTGTTTTTTTTAAAATAATAACTCAGTTTATATTGGGACTTAATGCAGATCATAATATACTAAAAGACATGAAAAAAACTTCAGTAAAAATATACTTAGTAGTAATAGTTTGAGTATTCAACTAGGGGCACTTCTACAATGATCAGTTTGAAACCATTAATGGAGAATACGGTTTTGCTGTGTAGATTAGGTTGTAGGGATTGCACACATCCAGAAGGTGGCCTTGAACCAATTCTACAATCTGCAATGTTCGCAGCTTCACAGCTGTAGAGAATAGGCTTGTTTAAATAAAAAAAAATGGTTCAAAACTCATTTCGGAAATTCATCCACTCTGGTTTAAAACTGCTTCCTAGGCTTGGAGGCCAGGGACCAGAAGTGGGGAAAAGCTGAATCATTTCCAACTCACTTACTGCTTCATAACAGAAATGGCAGAAAAAGCTTTGGAAGGGCAAAGGGACTTCTGGTTTCCTTAAAAACTTCGAAATAACTTCAAAAAGCAAATCTTTGCAAATTTATTCCGAATCATCCAAACAAATCATGCCATCAAAACCTTGTGATAGGTTTGCCTTAGGGTGAGAAGTTCCCACAAAATAATTAAAAGTGATTTTAAAATGCAATTAAATCATCTATAGAATTAAGACGCTGTAAACATTAATTAAAAAAGAAAGATAAAAAATAACATTTCAGCACACCATTAAAAGACCACTGAAGTTGATTTCTAAAAGCCTCTTAGAATAGAAAAAAGTAGCAAGTTGTAGACATCCTAGCCTTTTGTTCTTTGAAGAGGTCTAGTTGCATATTCTGTCATCAGTTGTTGAACATTTATAAACAAAAGGAAGAAGGGCTGATCAAATATAAGTCTAACACCATATGCACTGCCTTGTTATGAGAGTTCTCCTTGTTCTCTTTCAATTATATTCCTCTATTATACTACTGAACACATCTTTCAATAGTATGCTTATGTTTATTGTTATGGTCAGTCAATACTTATGGTTCTCCCCCCCACTTTTCTTTTTATAATGCTTTCCATTTCTGACTGGGGTTTTTATTGTTTTAATTAAGTCTTTTAGATGCCTTGAGGCCTCTACTGTGGAATCAAAAGGCAGAATAAAAATATATCAACGAATGCATAGATAAAAGAGCCACACTGCTGCTCCTGATTATATGAATCACCGAGACACATCTGGTTTTCTCCTTTTCTAATTTGCTGCACCAAGGTGTTGCTTTTATTTGTTGTCTTATTGAATTACCTGCAGACTGACTTGATCTTCTTTCCGCTCAACTAGGAGAGAAGACTGGCTACTCTCAGTGAGTTAGTCCGACTCCTGAGACCTGGTGGAAGAGCCCTTGTTTACGTTTGGGCTCTGGAGCAGGAATACAATAAACAGAAGTCTAAATACCTGAAAGGAAAAAGAGCTGGAAATAGTAACATGGAGGAAACAATAAGTGATGCCATAGAGGACACAGGAGTCAGTAAATCTCAAGGTTCTGCACAGCCTGATGGAAGTGTTAGTCCAGCGAAGGATAGATACTGTAGTGCAAATAAAGCTGTTACTACCAGGCTGCCTGTTCATACCAATAGAACTTCTTTTGACTCCCAAGATCTCTTGGTTCCTTGGCATTTGAAGGATGGCGCAAAGAAGAAAGTGGGGCACACAGAGCTCCATCAACCTATGACTAACTCAGAAAACACTCAAAAGTGTAGTCCTGTTTTCCACCGCTATTACCATGTCTTCTGTGAAGGAGAACTGGAGCTGCTCTGCAAAAGGCTGAATTGTGTAAATGTGCAAGAAAGTTACTATGACCAAGGGAACTGGTGTGTGATTCTTGAAAAGAAATAAAGTTTTTAGCTGCCTTGAAAATGAAACAGGAAACATTTATTATAGACATATTCATTTGCAGTGGTGTTTCTGAAAAAGATATTCTGATGGCACTAAGCTTTTATTCCTTCCCTTGCATTTATCAAATAAATATTATTTTTACAGTGTTTTGAGATTACATGGTGCTCATTTCCTTCCTTGAATTACAGAATCTTATGGAAAAGTGCCACATTGTCTTGTCATCCTGGATAATTCATAGGCTTGGTGCCAGGAGACTGGCTACATTTTTTTAAAAGAAGACATTTTCAAAAAAAGGTTTTAGTTGTTGTGATACAGAAACTGTACTATATTTCATTTTAGTTGGTCTGCTGCCTTGTTACATTGCAGTGCTCATGGCAATTTTACAACCTATAAAAAGGACAAAATAGACTAGCCAAAAATCACACACTATAATAACTCAATCAAAGGAAAATAAAGCCCAATTGAGGTGTTCAGTGCTTAATATGCGAGGGGGAGAGGTGCAAAGGCTGCGTTTCAATAGCAGAGTAGTACATGCTTCGCATTGAAGAAAATCCCAGGTTCAATTCTCAGCATCTACAAATAGAGCTGTCAAAAGCCAGACCTGATAAACTAGATTGTAGGGTAGAGGGGCCCACTGGTGGTACAGCAGGTTATTATTTATTTACAGTATTTCTATATCGCTTTTCTCACCCCTAGGTTAAACTTGCAGACTGAAAGGTTGGCGGTTCAAATCAACTTAACAGTTCGAAAACATGCAATTTTTTTTTGTCGTGTCAGGAGCGACTTGAGAAACTTTATCCTTGAAGTGACTGGCATGACTTTGAAGGAGCTGGGGGTGGCCACGGCTGACAGGGAGCTCTGGCGTGGGCTGGTCCATGAGGTCACAAAGAATCAGAATGACTGAACGAATAAACAACAGTATTTCTTATCTCTGTATCTATACATCATATGTGCTTATTCCATAAAATATCATTTTACTGTGTGTTTTAGCAATGTTCTAACCCACCTCGAGCCTTGAGGAGAGGCAGGCAAGAAATGTTGTTGTTGTTGCATTGCTGTTGTTGTCTCTGCTCATTTTGGCAGTCTTTGGATTGGATATTGCGGACCCCGAACGGATCAGATACCGGGGATTAATACAAATCACATATCTTCCCACAGGTTTTCCCTTTTAGGCTAATGGAATTGTCTGAGCGATCCATATTGCAGAACCCTATCTCCAAAATTGGTTCTACATCTTAGAAAAATTTAAATTTGGACTAAAATCTAGAGCAGATTCTTTATCATGCTGACTTTGTAGCACTTAGCCTCCTTTGTATCTCTTGACTAGTTGGATGTTCCACAACCACCAAAAAGGCTCTGTATCTTGGTTAGGATACGGGCATCGAATTGTGCCTTGGATGTGTAAGCCGCCCTGAATTCCCTTTGGGGTGAGAAGGGCGGGGTAAAAGTAAACCAAATAAATAGTTGGTTTCGCTTCATAACATCATGGGATCTGAAGTAATGTCCTAGAAAGGTGGTAACTGAGCATGTGAGAAGAAACAAAAGGGAGAAGGCAGCGAACACCTACATATGTAGGGAACTTTATAGATATGATAACTCAACCATGACTGCTTCACTGCTAGGCAAATGTGAGTTGTGTCTGTGTGATGTCTGACAGTACCTTGTGTGTTCCCAAATGTTCCCAAATGTTCTCTCTTTGCCCTTCAGATGTCTTAGAAAGTCAAGAAAATAGAGAAACACTCTTCTCTTTTTCCACGAGGAGGGGAGTGAATTCTTTAACTTTTAAGACTGCATATTTGTAGCTTTGTCTGTTGAGTCCTAAGGATAAATCAATAACTAATTACTTTCCTTTGCATTCACTTTCATTATTGCAAATGCATTCATACTGAGGCTGCACTGTCAGAATGACATAATACAGAGCTTAACAAAGGCAAAACAATAAAACACAGAGGGGGAATGATCCTATATTCTGGTGCATGAGGACAGGGAGAAAATATATTTACCAAATGACCATCACAGCCTATAATCATTTGACCTAGGAAAAGTAGCGACATAAATTCCGAAATGTAAATCTATAACTGGTATACAATTGTGATGTCAGTAGCACTGCATTCATACTCTGAAAAAGCACAGGATGCAGCAGGAGTGGGGAAAATTCAATCACATGTTTGGGAGTAGGACTTCACAAACCCTTAGAGCAGGTAGGGACAAATTCTGGCCCTCCAGCTCTTTTGGACCTCAACTCCCACAATTCCTAACAGCTGGAAAGCTGTTGGGAATTGTGGGAGTTGAAGTCCAAAACACCCGAGAGCCAAAGTTTGCCTGTGCCTGCCTTAGAGTGATGCTAGCTGGGGTTTATGGGAGATATAAGTTGACACATTTGGGCAAATTTTCCCAGATCTGGTACACATTTTCCCATGGTGGTGCAATAGGTTAAACCCTTGTGCCGGCTGAACCGCTGACGTTGGTGGTTTGAATTTGTGAGACGGGGTGAGGTATCATCTGTCAGCCCCAGCTTCCCATGCAGAGACATGAGAGAAGCATCCCACAGGATGGTAAAACATCTAGGCACCCCCTGGGCAATGTCACTGCTGATGACCAATTCTCTTACAACTGAAGTGACATGCAATTATCTCAAGTTGCTTCTGACCCCCTCCCCCCGTGTTTCTAATACCTCATTGATGTCTGCCATAATGGTAGCATATTTTTGTGTTCTACCATCTTAGTGGGGCTTCAGCCACATCTCATGCCCCATCCAGTACAGATTCGTGGAACTCAAATATAAGATTATTTCCTTACCATCCAACCATCTTGAGTTTGTAGGGACAATCCTGATAAATCTGTAACCTCACCCTTTCACCTGTTTTAAAAATCTCCTAGCATCTTCCTCCCACTTTCATACTTGCCCCCATTTTATTTCATTTGGTGCAAACTGAGCTCAAAATGGCAAAAAAAAAATGCACTCAGTTAACTCAGCAGTAGGGAGAGGAAAAGAGAGCAAGGAGACCTGCCAATCTCAGTTAGCTCAAGCAAAGGTTGTGGCAGAATGAAAATCACATGTAGTTCACATGTTACCTGTCCACACACTGTCTTGCCAGAGGAAGAAAATATGCCACACAGATGATCAGTAAAAGAACAAGAAGTTTACTCTTTGTAATACAGAGCAACATATATACGGTCGTGGACAGTTGCGTTGGCTCACCCAACGTCCTTTGTGAGAGATTCAAATGGTCTTTGGGTGTCCATATAGAAGATCTTCTTCTTCCAGCAGCTCATGAAGCAGGAACAAACTGTCTCTCTGTGCTAACTCCTGCACAACTAAAGCCTAAAAATGTAACTGTTGTCAAAACTCCCAGGTTCAGCTAGTCTCCTGGGTGTAGCCCAACCGATCAGCTTTGTGCTTTGCATTTTCAGTTTAAAACACACTCACCAACTGATTTTTTACATGCCCTAACAAAAGTAACTGCTGCAGCTTCTCCAAATTGTGGGTCCTTCTTCATTAAGAACTTTTCTCAGTCTTGGTCACTCTCCAATGTTGTCAGGCCACATGTGTCCTAATTTTTATCTGTAAAATGTTGAAAGGCATGTTTTGCAGAATTTATCTGTGAAATGTTGAAAGGCATGTTTTGCACAACGTTACATCCAAGTAATAGATTTTTTGACCAATATAAAGACACTGATTTTAGAAAGGAGAAATGGTAAATGAATTGTTCCCAACTGCCTGCTCTCCCTCCTCTCTAATATGGTAATGGAATTATTGTGCCTTCCTGAACATTTTATTTTAGGCAGCTGATAAGATCTGACAGAAACGTTCATAAGGCTGAGAAGGTCACTGGATAAATCTGTTATCCCTATTTGACAATGTATGGGAGATGACAAAATTTGCCCCCGAGCAGGATAACAGTGAAGCAAAGGTTTGCTCTGTATTGGAGTTCAATAAGAAAAGGTTGGTGAGCAGCTAAACGAAACAGTTCACATGATCCTAGACAGACTGTCTGCAGTCATGAAATAATCTCCTTCCTGCATTTGGTGTAGATAAAATCAGGCCCACTTGGTTCAAAATACAAGCTAGCATCAGCTGCTGTGAACTTCTCACCCCTTCCTCCGTTCTAGAAAAGGATATTTATATTTTGTTCTGAGACCTGGATTTCTCCTTCTTGCATCTGCTGAAGGGATTTATCTGTGTTTTCCCTATTGGGCAATTCTTGACAATTTTGAGAGTTTGGGAAGGAAATCGTACAAAATCCATGACAGCCTGGCTTGTTATGTTTTCTCGCGGGGAGTCAAAGTGATGCTTCCCTCCAAGAAACAACTGATGCAGCAATGTGTTCTTGCAGCATGAAAGCCAGTAGAACAACCATTGAGGTGTATATTTGACCTTTCTCATTCTTTTATTGTCTATCATCCATTTTCCTCCGTGTAATAAATAAAATGGTAGATTTCTTTTATGAACCAGGACAGTGTAATGATTTGAGTACTGGACTAAAACTTTCCATTCAGCCATGGAGACCCACCTTGGACAAGCCATACTCCCTCAACACAAGAGTAACGCAATGGCAAATCTCATCTTCATAAATTGTGCCAACAGAACCCTATATAGCAGTGGCTCTCAACCTTCCTAATGCCGCAACCCCCTAATACAGTTCCTCAGGTTGTGGTGACCCCCAACCATAAAATTATTTTCGTTGCTACTTCAGAACTGTAATTTTGCTCGTTATATGAATCGTCATGTAAATATCTGATATGCAAGTTGTATTTTCATTCACTGGACCAAATTTGATATTAATACCCAATACACCCAAATTTTAATACTGGAAGGGTGTGGGGGGGATGAATTTGTCATTTTGGAGTTGTAGTTGCTAGGATTTATAGTTCACCTACAATCAAATAACATTCTGAACTCCACCAATGATAGAACTGAATCAAACTTGACACACAGAACTCCCATGACCAATAGAAAATACTGGAAGGATTTGGTGGGCACTGACCTTGAGTTTTGGAGCTGTACTTCACCTACATATGGAGAGCATTGTGGTCTCAAATAATGATGGATCTGATGGACCAAACATGGCACGGATACTTGATATACTCAAATGTGAACATTGGTGGTGTTTGGGGGAAATAGACCTTGACATTTGAGAGTTGTAG